ATCCCTTTCAGTTTCCGCACACCCCGGAGTATGCAGAGCAAAGTCCAGGCCCTCCGCCTGGCCACAGTCCGCTCCTGATGCCAGTGGGGGCTGGAGGGGGCCGGGACTGCCTGGCGTGGCCCAGGGGGCGGTGGCCCCGGGGAAGGCCTGCACCCACCTTGCTGCGAGCTTTGTACACACTGGCGGTGGCTCCCTGCCCCAGCAGGTCCTCGGTGTGCCACAGGTAGTTTGTAGTGCTCTGCATCTCCCGCTCTTGCTGGCCGGCCACCTGCTACCTGGCAGAGCAGACCTAGGTGTCCCGGTCGCCACTGGTGATCTGTGCCCCAGGACCGCCCCAGGGAGGGACCCTTCCTGCTATCCCACAGGCAAAGGGGCAGGCGGAGTGTGAGGCAGAGAGGGTACAGTTAGGTAACCTCCCTGAAAGGAGACACAACACAGTCCTGTCCCCACAGCCCACAGCCTGTCCCACCTACAGGACAGAGGCCTGGAGAGACAAACCTCTCTTCTGCGGGTCTCAGGCAGGCTCTCGGAATCCCAGGTTCCTGACAGCAGCCTGGGAGTGTCCCAGGAAATAGAAATGGGGTTGGAGGGAAGGCCCCGGGTAGGTCGGGCCACAGAAGCCACACCACAAATCTCCAGGATTACAACACGAACCGGGCCGGCAGCCCCTCCCCACCCGCTCACAGGACCCACCACTTCCTGTTGCTGTGAGCTAACAGCTGTTCCTTGGCAGCCCGTGGGGCCAGGTCAGGGCGACTGTGGTGAGTATGTGTGTGCAGGTGAATGTGCACATATGCAGTGTGTGTGTTTGTGTGTGTGTGTGAGAGAGAGAGAGAGAGAGAGAGAGCACCAGAAGGCAGACCCCTCCCTGGGGAGGATCTGAAACCCTTGCCCCCTCCTCTTCTCTGGACTGGTTCCTCTACACCAGCCAGTTCCAGAGATGCCCAAGGCCATGCTGCCCGGAGAAAGCAGCCCGTGTTGGTCTTTGGGGGTGACCGGACATGGCGCCTGGAGGAGAGTCACGGGTTACTTTGTGTGGAGAAGCTAACGGCAAGGCCGGCAGTTGGAACCCACCAGCGGGAGGAAGATGAAGCTGTCTGCTCCTGTCGGGAGCTCTCAACTCCAGACTCAGGGGGTTTGGGGAGAAGCCTGGCTCAGCCGCTGCCCCTAAGGACGCTGGGCAAAGGCTGGGCTGGTCAGGGACTTCTTGCTCTCACACAGGGGCTCCTGCGCTGAGTGGTCTCCTTGACAGCTTTTCTGAAACAAGCCAATCCCTGGAGCCAGAGGCCACACCATGTACCGGTGCTTCCAATGTACCGACGGGGCTGCGGTGCTGGCAGCCCCCCACCCCCCAAGATGATGTAGACTCTAGCACAGTGGTTCTCAACCTGGGGGTCACGACCCCTTTGGGGGTTGAATGACCCTTTCACAGGGGTTGCCTGATTCATAACAGTAACAACATTACTGTGATGAAGTAGCAACGAGAATAATTTTATGGTTGGTGGGTCACCACTACATGAGGAACTGTATGAAAGGGTCGAGGCATCAGGAAGGTTGAGAATCACTGTCCTAGCAGCTCAGCAGGGAGGAATTATGAGGGGGGTGTGGTGGAGGGGTGAGGCTGAGAACAGGCAAAGGGCCCCGCCCGGGGTGCTGGGGTGCAGTGGCCCCTCCCCCACCTTCACAATCCTGCCCTAGCTGTCTTCAACAGGGGCTTCAAGGGTTGGGGTCTCAAGACCCCAGGGTCCGGGGCAGGGTGGTTCAAAGGCATAGCCCCAGAGGGGAGGGTGTCTTGGCCCGCGGGGCTGTGTGGGCATGTCCTCTGCAGCCCAGCCCAGCCCAGGGAAGGAGACTGGATGGACGGGTGTTGGAGACCAGCTAGCCAGAGCCAGCTGCCCACTCTGCCTCCCACAGCCTCCTGGGCGGCGCAGCCGGCACTCACCTCCGGCTCCCAGGCACTCGATCAGGCACACACCGTTCTGTTCTCAGCGAGGGTGTCCCTTGCTCTCTGTAGGTGGCAAGTCCAGGGGTAGAGCCACACCGGAAAGAGGGGGGCGGATGAGAGGCACCCCTCTGTAGGCTGCTGTTGGAGTCTCTACCTCCATCAGAGGCCTCAGGCCCCAGTCCTTTAACCCTTTCCTGTTTGTCACCTTCGCCACAGAGCTGGGGGTTTCCAGCCTCGTTCCCCAGCGGCTGGCTCCCTGGCTGTTCCTGGAGCTCCCATCCCCGGCCAGGGAGAGAGACAAAGCCTGGCTTTCCTGGGAAGGGAGAGTGGGGGCCCAGCTCCCCTGTATGCCACACCCTCCTGCCCCTCACTGGCTTCTACGCGTCCTTCCTAGGGTGATGGGGTGCAGGCACCCTGGGGCCTCCAGCAGCAGACACGGGGAGGGGCGCTGGTCCGGAGAGCCACTGCTGACACCCTGCACCCAGCTGAGGGCCACCCTGCTGTTGTCGCCCCACCCTTCCCCTTGCCACAGGGTTTCCTTAGTCCACGATGATCCCCCACTCACCCCATCTCCGTGCCGGGAATGAGCCGGTGGGAATGGTTGGGCCTCCCACAGGCTTCAGGGTTTGCTGGCACGTGTGGGCAGAGCCCAGAGCATTCTGGTGGCCTTGGGGCCCAGAGACCTGCAGGCCCGGCCACTTGCGGTGGCCTTGTGCTGCTGCCAGCTGGCTGCCAGACACCCAGCCCAGCTCTGCCTTCAGCTCCCTGCCGCCTCCTCCCACACTTCCTGACTTCCTTCTGTCCCTCTCTTAAAGAGACAGGCAGCCTGGCCACCACCGGCCCCCCAGCAGGAAGGAGAAGGGGGGCCCTCAAGACCTGTAAGCGGGTGATAGGGCCCGAGTCTGAGCCACAGAGAGGCCAGGAGCTGAGCCCCGGAGGGCTGTGGCTGGCCACCAGGTGCTGCCTGGGCATCTCCCTCCGTTCATGGGGCAGGGAAGTGTAGGCTCTGCCCGTCAACTGAGCAGGTTGGGCCAGTTAATCGAATGGGGAGCTGCCAGGGAAGGCCAGTGCCCACACTGGAGCCTGGAGCCGGAGGCCCCCCCCCCACCCCCCAGGACCAGGGCTTCAGCCTGGCCACACCCAGGAGGAATGGGGCTGGACTCACTTCCCAGGGAGCCTCCAGAGGCCCCGGGGAGGGCCCGGGTGCAGTGGCACATGCTCTCAGCTGGTTTCTCTTTCACGGCATGAGGCTCGGCACTGACTTGTCCCTGGGCTGTGTGGGGGCCGTGAAACAGTGGGTGCCAGTCCACCTGGCAGACCAAGCTCCGCGCCAGCAGGCCGACCCCAACTCACTGCAACCCTCTCGGACAGGGTGAAACAGCTCCCGTGTGTTTCTAAGGTGCCAACCCTTCACAGCAGCGGAAAGCCTCATCTTTCCCCAAGAAAGAAGCGGCTGGTGGTTTTGAACTGCTGACCTTGCGGTTAGCAGCCTGACGTGTACCCACTATGCCACCAGGGCTCCCTGGAGACACCTGGGGCCCTGGACAATGGTGTACACACAGGCCCTGAGGCCTACTCACAGTTAGTAACCTGCCCATGATCCCCAGAGACCCCAAATCCAACCTCCTAAGGGGCTGGAGCGGCCTTCGCCGTTCTGGCCAGCTCCGAGGTGGCAGCTGGGTAGGAAATGGTTAAAACCAGGAAATTCCATATTTCTACTGAATGTTGGGACTTTCCCAGGGCCACACCTGGTGGTTTCCTCCGCCTGCCCCACCCCAACCACAGTGACAGCCCAACAAGAGGGAGGCTGAACATGCTGTGCTCAGATAGCACCTGCTGATAACGCGGGCACTAAGGCCCGCTGCTGCATCCTGCCCAAGCGGGCAGCCTGGCCGTTTCTCACCATGACTGTGGGCAGCAGCCTGGGTCCTCAGTCTCCACCCCAGGCCCCCAGCTTCCCCCTCCCTGGCACAGTGTACTTCCTAGGCATTTGCGCGAGTCCCAGGCCAACCACACCCGACGCCGCTAGCTGCTCAAAAGCAGCTTGGACCCACTAGCCTCACCACTGGGGCAAGATGAGACCGTCGGCTCCCCTAGAGAGTGAGTCTGGGACCCTGTCCTAGAGGGTCTCCGCGGCTCAATGGCAAGAGTGCCGTGTTAGGTAGGGTGGCTGTGCCACCAGCCTGGCTCCAGTGACTACCAGGAGCACAGACCTCTGCTGGCCCACGGGGAACCAGCAGCTTTGGAGAGAAATCAACCTCGCTCAGTGTTAGGCTTGCCAGGTGGCACCCCAGGTTAAACGCTGGAATGCCATTTAAAAGGTGGGCAGTTTGAACCCACCCAGAGGCCCCTTGCGAGGCAGGCCTGGCCTTGGAGACCACCTGGACGGGTCCTGCTCCTTACCTCAGGGGGCCCCGTTGCTGGAGGGGACTCGCTGGCAACCAGCAGCCTTGTTTTAAGCCTCCGGGGTGTTGAGGTAGTTTGTTATTGACCCATAGCCTTGCTGCGCAGTCAACGTCTGCCCATGCCTCCCTGGTGAACCTGCTCAGGCCTCACCAGCTCCCCTAAGTTCCAGTCCCCCCCCATCCTCGTCTCCCCCCCACCACCAACCCCCTGGCATTTGCATCTTCAAATGCAACAAGGGAGTAAACACACCCACTGTGCACCAGGCCCCGTGTGTTGAGCATGAAGCAGGTGCTCAGGAGCTTAGACGAATGCGCTGACGCAGCAACAGAAGACACTTCAGTACATGTCCTGTGAGGCTGCTTGGACTGCAGGATGTTTTGTCCATGCTTTATGGCTGTGGGCACTGACAGGACAGCATGGCTAGTGCTTCATTGACAGGGAGTTGGAGGTGGGGGTGGGGGGGGGGCAGGCTCCTGCAGGAAGAGGGAGCGCCGGTCAGAGGCCTTGGCATGTTTCCTGAGTGGCTCTGAGGAGTCACAGAGACATGAGTGGCCAATGAAGGGGTGCAGAAGGACCAGGCACGGGAAGAGGGGCCTCCCTGGTGGCCGAGCGCAGGAAACAGCTTGGGTTGCCTTCTACAAAGGGAGGTCTCATTGCCCTGCAGCCCCGGGTCGGAATTCCAACTCTACCACTGTGTGACCTAGGGTCTCAGGGTGACAATGAAAGTCACTCCATGGGAAGGGGTGAAGGCAGAATGTGCGGCAGTGCCTTTCCCAGTCCCTGTGTGGCCTAAGCCTGTCTCTCACCTGCCTGGTGCCTTAGAGGTACGGGTGTGGGTGTTGATGTGTAGAAGGCGGGGCATTGCGGGCCCAGGGTCTCCCAGCTGTGCTCATCAAAACAGGAAGGACTGGATAAGGTCACAGGGGCTCCTTTCCCCCTTCAGGAGTCAGCTCTGGGGGGTAGGGAGGGATAAACATTGCACCCCGACTTGCTGCTGCTCCCTGAACGATGGGCAAGGGGCCATGGGGCCGGCAGCCAGCCTGAGTGCCACCACTGCCAGCCAGTCTTTCCGTCACCCTTCTGAAGCTCCCATACCGCCCGCGCACCCCTCTCTCCCACACTCTCAGCTACGCTTCACACAGAAAGGGCGTCCATCACAGGGAATGCCTGTTTTCACACCCCATCCCTCCAGTCGGTCTTGGTTCTGCGCTGTGCTCACACCTGTGCTCTCCTGAGGTCCTGCTCCCACTCTCCGGCCCCTCCCCACATCTCCAACACCATCATCTTAAACACAGGGCCAGGACCCGGGCCCTTAGCCCTCTTGCGGCCTCCACTCAAAGCCACATTTGTTAGGAACGTTGCTTCGTTTCATTCCCTTTGACCCCCGACTGCCTCCAATCAGACCCACCGGCCCTCCTGACAGGGCCCGGCCCTCTTATCCCGCAGGCACTCAGTCGGCCCTCCCTCCTCCGCCCACTGCCGGCTGCCTCCCAGACTCCTCGCTCCTGGTGACGTCTGCCTCAGGGCTTCCTGGCCGCTCCTTCCGAGGCTGGATTTCTAGTGGCTGGACCATCTCTTTCCTATCTATACGTCCTTCCCAGGAATCGCACAGTTCAAATACATGACAGCCAGCCTCCCTGCAGTCCAGTTTAGATTTCAGCTCATGGGGACTCTACGGGACCGGGGAGAACCACCCGGGTGGGTTTCTAGACCGTAACTCTTTCCACGCGTCGCAAGTCTTTCTCCCGAGGCTCAAGCAGCTGGGGTTTCCAGCTGCCAACCCTGCAGTTAGCAGCTCAACTCAGAGCCTCTGTGACTCTGCATACGCGATACACACTGCCACCGAGTCAAGGCCGACTCACAGCGAGCCCTGTGCCTTTCCGAGAGACGCCCCGTCTTCCTCCTGCTGGCTCCTACACTTGCTTTCCGGCATCTTCTCCCTGAAGCGCCAGGTTAACCCACGGAAGAGTCCACCTCCTACTTCCCCGTGGCTGTCGAACAGGCACCTCCGCTTCAGCAGGCCAAGCAGAGCTTGGCGCTCCCCTCCCCTCGGGGACCAGCACGGGCACTGTCTTTGGTACCCTGTATGGATTTCAGAGTGCCGCTTCTTTTGCTTACCCATCACCCTCGGGTATAAAACCACCCGACAGCAAGCCTCATGTTCTGGTCTCCTGTGCAGTACTAGGTGAGTGCCGGGCGTGGAGCGCTTGTTGACTGGCCTAAGGAACGAGTCTCTGGAACGTGTGACGTGGCAAGGTGGGCAACTCGAGTTCAAGGCCACCTCACACAGTGACGGGTATGAGCATCTAGAAACCGTCATCTTACAGGGTCTCCTAAGCCCACGAGCATCCATACCGTGGGTTTCTATGGAGACGGCACTGGCCGATGTGTCTGTACGTGCTTGCTGTCAACTGGGAGTCCTCGGGGGCTGGTGATGGCGGTGCAGAAGACTCACATGCACCCTGCTAACTGAAAGGTCGGTGGTTTGAAGCCACTGAGAGGAGTCTCAGAAGGAAACCCAGCCATCGACAACCCTCAGGAGCACAGTTCTCTGCCGAGGGAGGGACCACGAGTTGGCACTGGCTCAAGGGCAACTAGCTTTGTTTTATTCATTTTCCCATTGTTACCAGTTCTGTCAACATGGAGAAGGGGATGAAGAAGCCCGGAAGGGAACAGCCTGCCTTCCCTTAGGAGTCTCAGAAGCGGCGCTCTGACCTCGGTTCACAGCACCAACTGGCTCCACCTCACAGTGTCACAGGGGGGCTCCTGGCCATCGCCACGCTCCTTGTGACCTGACTTCAGGGGGCATGAGCTCATACTCCACAGGGTGGCAGGAGCCTCCGAGTGGACTAACCGAGGGCCAGAGGCCCAGGCAAGGCAAGCCATGCCTTCAGGATGTAACCCTATGTCCGGGGAGCAAGGGCCTCAAACAGTGGCGGGACAGAAGATAAGCCAGAAAAACACCATCCACTCACTGCCCCGCAGTGGAAGCCGACTCCCAAGGAGCCTATAGGGCAGGGAGAACTGTCCCTGTGGGCTCCCGAGGGTGCCCGGAGTACAAAGTCCTGCACGTCTCTCTCTGATGGGCGGGTGGTTTCAAACTGCTGACCTTGTGGATCTTGAGGCAAAGGATGTCCAGTATACCACCAGGGCTCTTGGACAGAGGATACACCCCACAGAGAGCATGAGCAGCGTCTAGTCTGGGCCTGTCAGTGGGCGCCACAGATGGGCTCTGTTGGCACTCTTCTCTTGGAAGTGAGATCTTGGATCCGTTGCTGGGAGCAACGTTGTGGTATCCAAATGGGTCCATGAACAAATAAGGGTATGCCCAAGGGGCATTTTAAGTTGTCCCCCGCCAACAATTCCAGCTGGGGATTCCTCCTGCAATAGACATCTCAAGAGGAGAAAGCATCCCTGAAGGCCCCTGCAGCCCTGCCCTGTCTGAACACCGCCCACAGCACAGGCAGGACCTCCTCCTCTCCACAGCAGGGCCTGCCTTGCACAGAATGCAGGGCATTGGTTGGTTGTACAAGACACAAAACCTTCAGCCAGCCTGGGTCGTAGCTGACAAAGCACTTCTAATCCCTCTCCTCCACTAGGGGAACCGAAAACTAGAGAGGGCAGGGGAGGTGGATTCCTGTGAGGGAGATGGTTCTCATGGCAACAGACCGCCCAATGGGGTGAGGGAGACTTTCTTCAAACCCTCCGGCTTCCACATATAGGAATAGAGTGAGGAGTGGGGAAACAGGAATGCGAGAGGTGGGGAAGGCATGGTAGCTGCCTCAGGAGGCTCAGGCATCATCCCGGGCTGGCCGGCCGGCAGTGTCTCCTCCTGTTGTTGTGTGCAAGGTCCTTGTTGTGTACAGGGTCCTCAGCAGCTGGTGGGCAACATCCATCAACTACTCTCTGCTGGGGTGGGAAGGGAGAAGGTGGTTGGCTCCTGGAGCCCCCTCCTTTCTCCCTCTGTTGCCAGGCAGGGTTCAGTTAGAGCGGATGAAGCGACACCCTTCCCCGGCAGCTGGACTCGGGCCTCGGCGACCGCAGGGAATGGGCTGGGGCATGAACGGCGGCACGGAAACCTAAAAATGTATTTTATTTTGAAGTTGTGCTTTGGATTTTCCCCAATCCGACATCTGTTAAGTGACAGTCTCAGGTTCATACAAAGCATCTCCAAGCATACATACAATATTCCAGTTTTCAACACTATGTTTAAGGAATATACCATGTTACACAAACGTGACATACAAGTCGGACGCCACAACATTGCAATTCCCTGCAAGATCTACACTTCTTTTCGGAACAGGCAGTGCGTGCACCAGCCCTCCGGGGGTCTGCACGTCCGGGTGCTGGTGTTCGCTCTCTTCTCCTTGGGGGGAACCAGGGTGCCCTGAGGAGGTTGGCCGAGACCAGGGTTTCCAGTTGACAGGCTGCTGGCTGCAAACCCCTCTGTTTTCCACCTTGAGATGCTGGTAGCCCCTCTCTCCACTCCTCCCCTGCAAGGACTGGCCCATCAGAGTTCACAGCAGGAAGAGGGTCCCTGCTGTGGAAGAGGGGCAGAGCAGGGCTCTGGGACATGTCTCGCTGGCCTAGGCAAACGTAACGGAGATGGGCTGGTCTCTCTCAGCCCGGGGAGCGGGCTCCTGGCTTGTCAGTGTAAAATGACAGTGCGTGACCTCAACCCCAGCTGATTGCAGTGAGCGTGCTGGAGAGGAGGGTCCCTGGGCCTCGTGACAGGACCACCTCACAGGGGTCAAGAGTGCCAGCAATGGGGAAGACCACTCAGCACCCGGGCCAGGGGCTAAGACTTGGTTTGTTGAGGAGGCTGGGGGTCCATGACACAAACCAGCAGGCGGGCACTGACTGGGGAGAGGGCGAACACAAGCCACCTGTGAGGACGGAACAGAAACAAGGGCAGCTCCTCAACTTCGTCGTTAGGGTGCGCTTTGGGGCTGCCGCGAGCACCAAGCTAACAGGCGGATGACGAGGAGCGGAAGGTGAAGGGCCTGGTTTTGTCTTTGGCTGAGGCCAGAGATCGCTGGCGACAGCAGTCCCCACGTAAGCCGAGGACAGCGCAGGGCAGGCCACTAGACCCAAGGACTCAAAGGCGGCGGGCGGGCAGGCTCACTCTGTGCAGGATGCCTCAGCTCTCCCTCCAGCTCTTGAGCTGGACCCCTCACCCCAGGAGCTGCAGAACACCTTCTCATTCCAGAGCCCAGAGCTCCTGTCACCTGCACAGAGTGGAAAGCTACCGCCTTCCAGAGAGCCAGCTACCAACTTCAAAATGTTGCTTCCTAACAGATCCAAGACAATTCTGAGTTCCCTCGCAGATGGCTACCCACCAGCTCTCCTGATGGACGTGTAGTGTAGGAGACAGTGCAACCACACACGTACCTCTAGAGTCAGAAACCTGGGGCTGAGCTTCAGCTGTTGCTCAAGGCGCCGTCAGACCTGTGAGCCCGGAGAGAGGGTCTCCGTCAGGGAGATAAGAGGGGTTGGGAGGGGGCCCATCCTTTTCACCTCCGCAGGGAATCAGGAAAGCAGGCTACACGACAGCAACCATGGTCTTAGTTTCCTCAGAGTCTGGCCTTAGGAAGACTTAAGAGCTGCGGGGTCGAAACGCCCTTAGCTGGTCCTGTGTGGATGGGATCCTGCCTCTTGGATCAGAGTATGGCCTTGCTCCAAGCCCCCTCTGTCCCTAAAGAGAGGCCTTGTATAGTAACCAAACTAAAGGGCAAATTTAGAATGAGTCTGTCTGGGCAGCGATCTGGAGGTTAGCGAAGTTGATTTAATCATATATCTATATATAGGATAATGAGTTTTATGTTTTAAGTGCTAAATAATGAAGGAGAAAGGCCTACTTCTTAACCCTTTTGAAACCTGCCAGGAATAAGACACTTTGCCCTTAGAGGAGCTGGCTCTGAGCCTGTCCTGTCCAGGGAAACGGCCAGGGCCAGCACCCTGAGGAACGGCAGTCCATCCCCAAACACTGCAGAACCTCCTCGGGCAGACGGGCTGCACCGCTGGAGGAAGGGGGAGAGCAAAAGCAACCACCAGTGATGAATTCACACCGAGAGAAGACTGGGAGGAAGGTCCTAGCCCCCACAAGGCCAGGACTGCGCCCCACCTGGCTAAGACTTCATGAGAGAGAGAGATAGGGAGAGAGAGAGAGAGTTCAAAGGCTAGGCTCTCTGGCCCGGACAGGACTAGGGTTGTTAACGGAAACAGAGACCCCTGGTGGCTCTGGTGTGAACTGCCACCATAACTTACAAAGAGACCAGGGAAGGCTACACATGCCGGACTAGAAAAGCCTACGTGAGTGTGTACACGTGTGTGTACATAAATGTGTGTGTGTGTGTGTGTGTGTGTGTGTAAAACAAAGAATGGACTATATGTGATTCTCTATAATCAGTACCCAAGACAAGATGCCACTGGGAGGCGGATGTCAACAGCCAACCATCTGGTCAAAGCGTCCATACCCCCGGGGTACTGGGACGGCAGCCCCTGGCTTCACAACTGGCCGGGCCAGATTTCACAGTGACCTGACGACGGATGAATGAGGTCTATCTCTGGCTGGTCTAAGGGCGGCGGCGTTGCAGCTGGCTGCATGACCACGGCGGCAGGGAAGCAGAGGGTGTTGGGTGGGAAGGGAAGGGCGGCGTTCACAAGGGCGTCATTCTCAGGGTTTGGGGTGATAGGAAGGCTAATTCCTGCAAGAACAACTTAGAATCTAATTTTCAACTGAACTGCAGTCCCCAAGCTAGTTAAATAGGAAGGTTTTAATAACAGTCTCCAGTCCCTACAGTCCCCCTATCTAGAAGAATTAAATTAGACCCATCAGACTGTACAGGACTTGTCAGGGGGCTGTGGGGAGGCTGGTGAGTTGGCAGCGGGGCCAGTGGTGCTTGCTTTGGGGAAGACGACGGGCTTGGGGCGGGTGGCTGGCGGTTTGAGGGGGGCTGCCATCTTGATAGGCTTGACAGGCCGGAAGGCGCAGGCGATGTCACCCGCTGTGCTGGCGCTGCGCTGGAAGGCGGGCTCGGGGTCCTTGAGGAGCTGGGTGTGCAGGGGGCTGGAGGGCTCCGAGGTGGGGGCCACCACGGGGGAGGTCTTGAGGGGCTCCAGGGTGTCCAGAACCACGTCCGGAGTGTGCTTGACACTGCTCTGCCGTTCTAGCTCCCGCAGCTCATTCAGGGCAGAGTTCATGGTCGCCTCGATATCCTGCAACACAGGGCGGGGAGGAGGTGAGGCCCCTGCAGGGCCCTGCCCCCAGGGTCCCATCATGAAGACATCCACGACCAGGCATGCCCAGACTACTGGAGTTGGCTGAGGCCGTGAACATATGAATGACTTGAGTGGGAGGCGCAGGGGGACAGAGGACTTTCATGGTCATGTTTTCTGTGAACTTGAGGACGAGCAGTACCGCTGCAGTGCTATCAAGTCGACCGGCTCACGATGGCCGACAGGGCAGGGCTGGCCCCGCTGGTGGCTGAGACTGGGGTCTTTACAGGGCCAGGTGGCCAGTCTTTTCTCTCGCTGTGTGGCTGGTGGGTTTGAACTGCCACTGCACCCCTGGCGTGGCTCAGGAGGCACAGTAGTTATTTTTATGAGTCCTCATACAGAAACATTCGTGGGTGGAACAACATCCAACCTGGTGGGGAGGGGGCAGTAGGGGGCCTGGGGCCGGTGATGCACACACGGACTCGTTACCAGCCCTTCCTCAGCTGATGACGTCTGAAAGGGCAACCAGTACTTCCTGAGCAGCAGCTGAGGAGAAGCATACAATCGTTCCTTCTCGGGGGTTTGAGGGCTGAAGGGGAAGGGGTGAGCTTTTTCTGAGGGGCGGAGGGAAGGTTCCATCCACCAGTCTCAGGACGTATCAGGAAGCCCACCCCTATCAAGTCATGATGAAGTCATTCCTTCTACCCTTCACCATGGGAGAGAGAGGACCAGAGAGTGACCAGGAGGGAGCCAGAGCCCACACAGGCGAATCACCCTCTTCCCGTCACAGTGAGCACTCCACAGCAGTCTTACTTAGCTCAGGGGCTCAAGGGAGAACCAGGGAGCCTTTGTATGCAAGCCAACTGCTTCTCAGAGGCCTCCCAGCTCTCCTCTCCCTGCCCACTACTGGGTGTCTGGCACCCCAGGGCACTGGTTGGCGCCTCCCTCAGAATCAGGCTCACACTGAGATCGCATGCCCCAGAGGTCCCTGGGGAAGGTGGCAGTAGCTCCACCCCACCTGTTACTGCAAGGTTCTCCAACCTTAATGCCCAGGAAGCATGGCCTCTTGTCCTTGGCCCCACTGTGCATGGGAGCCTGGCCACACACATCTTCTGACCCTGCCGTTAGCACCTGGCCAAAGGGAGCTGGGAGGAGTCCCCTGGTGCAAGGCAGCCTGCGCTGCCACCGAGAGAAGAGGCCCAGAAACAGAAGGCTAGCAAAGCAAGCCAGACCTGTCGAGCCCACAGCTCAGCGCTGTGCTTGTAGGCACAGCTCCCTTAAGCAGAGCGCCACAACTAAGCCAGCGAAGACCACACTCAGCAGCCTGTCGCCCCTTGAAGCCAGTGGGTGGGTGGGAGGGAGAGACAGATTCTCAACTCCATTGAGCCGTGAGGACTAGCCCCTCGTGCCTACCTGGTCTAGTGAAAGTTATAGAGTTGGGAGAGGCGTCTGAATGAACTGCTTGGAGTGGCCCCGGAAGTTGAAGTTTTAGAAGCCGGGTTGGGTCTCTAACGTGTTGTGGAAAACAGAGAGTTGTCAGTGTGGCGCATATCCAGACAGAGGAGGCTGTCAGCAAGGGGCTTGGCTCATCTCCACAGCCCTGGGAGTGCAGCTGGAAATGCTGCCGGTTCCAGCCAGATCGCTGCCTGCCCGCTTGCCTCCTCACCAGGGGCCCAGAGGTGAGGCCCAAGTGTGGCCTCAACCTTCGGGCAGCTTCCATGAGGTCCACTGGGGCCTCAACCCTCAACACATGGGTTATAAAGATGACATGGACTTCACCCAGATCCTGTATCTGTAAGGACTGGCTTGGAAAATACAAAGTCTTAGATGAAGGCCAGAGTGTGAGCAAGAAGCCCGGATTCCTCTATTCTGTCTTCCAGTTACTTTGGGGAAAGCAGTCTTGGCTGCCCCAGCTGTCCAACAGGCCGCTCCTGTCCATGTCCCGGGATACCTCACATGGGCTGCACTAAGCAGGGAGACCAGGGTGGACTCATGCGAGCTGTCTGTTCAGGAGCCCCCGTTACCTGTGCAATGACCTCTGGGTCCATGGGCCGGTGATTATTGAAGCTCTTTGACCTTCCTGCCGTCACTGTCTTCCGGATCTGTGGACTGTCCAGCCGGTTCTTCAGGGATGAGTGGCGGCTGATGGAGTTGAGGCTCCCGTGCCCGGTGACGGAGCACTTATCCGGCCCTTCCTTGGGGAGGCTCTGGCTCATGATGGGCTGGGAGGATGGGCGGCAGCTAGCCCCCACCCCCGGGGAGGAAGAGTCAGTCAGCCCGTGGCCCTCACTCCGAAATGTTTTCCGGATGCTCCCAGGCTCTGGACGCTTCCTCTGCCTTCAATCACAAACAGAAGGGCAGTATGGTCAGGGAGCCCTGCTCTGAGGAAGCTAGGACCAGGGAGAGAGGGGCAGGCGGCTCGCACACCCCAGTTTCCGGAAAGAGAGACCCAGAGCACGTGTCACCTTCTCAGGTTCACCTTCCGTGGTCTCTGTGTGTCTACTCCCAGCCCCCAGCCCCCGCAGACTGGACAGAGGAGGAAAGGACACTTACTTGGCGGCTGTGAGTTTTGACCTCTCCAGGTGTAAGGCGCTGCCAGAAAGAAGCACGGATTAAGTGAGAGTTTAAGGAGCGTCTCAGAGCAAGGCGCCACCCGTCACCTGCTTCCAAGAGAAACCAAAGGGCCCAGGCAGGAGGGTGCTCACCATCACCAAGGAGGTGGAGGCGGGTAGAAGAGAAGGTCGAACTCTCCTCCCGGACTTTAGCCGTGTCTCCAGGTCCGACCCAGTGAGCCTGCACTCACTCTGGGCTCTGCTAAGAGCCTGCTGTGCTTGTGCTGCCGGCATGGGTCTGCCTGGGTCAAGTGGGCGCATCTTCTTGGGGCAAAACGCACATTCCCATCCTAATACATTCTAAGTCACCCTGTCCTGGGTGACACCTGGCTCTGGGTGACACCCAAGGCTCTCGTACAGAGGGGCTTGGTCCTTCCGGGGAAGGGCGGGGGTGCTCTAGTGATACAGCGGCTGCGGCTGCTGTGGGGTGAATGTCACGCTCGGTTGGGAGTAGATTTCAAAGGTCTGCATGGAAGAAGCAATGGAACTCCTGTTTTGAGATGGCAGCTCTGCCCTGGAAGCTGTTCCGAGACTGGGACTGAGCCTGGGGGAGGGAGTGGGGCCACGCGTGAGCAGGAGGCGCAGGGGCAGCGTTCCTGGACTGCCCTCACCCGGGGTGTGGCCCAGGCCCTCCTCATCTCCTCATGCGACAACTCCACAGCGTGCATTCTCGGCAGTTTAGACTTTGTGGGCCAGCCTTCCTTACATGGAAAAGGACATCCCAGCGTCTTACAGGACCAGCCGAAACCACCTCTCCGTGCCTGCCCACTTGCCCAGGTCCACTCACTCCAGTCTCTGGCAGGTTCACTCCGTCACTTCCTCCTCTCTTCTCCCGGGACACGGACGGCACCTGCACACCTGACTCGCCAGCCAGGCTCGGTTCAAAGCTCTGAGACCACACGACATGGCTTAGCCATCTCTGAACAGTCAGCATTGGTGCTTGGCATACAGCAGGCGCTTAATGACAGTGCGGGGCTGAAAGGAAACGCACACCCTCGCTGCTGTGTGCCGATTTCCTTTGTCCACTGGAGGGTGGCTGGCTCACAAAGCTAACGCTGTGGAGGGGGCCTGGCCCTGCCGGCCCCAGGGAGGGAACCACAAGGGGACTTCCTGCTTCAGGGAACTCTCTGTCTGGCGGGGGTGGGACCTGAGTGTGGAAGGACAGAGGCGCAACTCACAAGGCACTTAACTCAGCCCTGGATAACTTGGTGGGCACAGAAAGGCCAGCCCAAAGTTGTTCAGCTTTGGCCTGAACTGGAGACAGAACTTGGTACCTTCGGGAGTGGAGGGCAGCTGAAGGAGCTTGGAGAGGGCAGATGGAGATGGGGTGGGGGACAATATTCCTGTGGGCAGTCCTGCCGCTGAGGGCTCGTGGTCGGCCTGCTCACTCGGTCCGAAGAGGCTGTGCAGTGAAGGCGCCTGTCTCCCATGAGCCCCCGCTCAAGAATCCTGCCACCCCCAAGCAAGGAGTTCAGGGAACCACCTTGACGCCCCCGTGTCCACTTGTGGGCAGGTGGTCTCACCTATCTCTCTCTCTCCACCTCCTCTGTACAAACGCCTTCCACTAGATGACGGCTTCCAGGCACGCACCTCGGGCCTTGTCTAACTCTCCCTCCACCAACCGTGCCTTGGTTTCTGGATTAATTACAGGCTTCGGTGCTTGTGATTATAGGCTTATAATTAACATAGACTTGTAAATAGGGGGGGGGGCGAAATGTGATCAGCCTACAGTTACTTTTTATTAGCTTGCCCTCCCGGCAGAAATCAAATTCTCAATGAAAAAAAAAGTTCTTTTTCGAGGTTTGCCTTAACTGATGGTGTGGAGCTGCTAACCACAGGCCAGCAGCTTGACCCGCTGCCCTGCTCTGTGGGTGGAGAGAGGAGTTTCCTATGGCACAGAGTCACGGTTTCTGAAACCCGAGGGGCAGTCTGCCTCTGTCCTACGGGGGCTGGCGAGCCAGGCATGGACTCTGAGGCAGTGAGCTGAGCAGACTCCACCAACTGCAGGGTGGGAAGGATGGGAGACCACTGCGAGCCCACCATGCCCCCTGCTACCATGCCCCCTGCTACCGCCTGGTTGGAAAAAAGCCAAGAGATCCGGGCGACCTGGTGCAGTTTAGAAACAACAAGCATCTTTTATTCCCCTTCCTGTTTCAGTGTCCAGAGGCTACAGTTAACGGGTTTCCAAGGTGCAAATCATGTCACTCCTCCAAAGCCGGAGGGGAAGGGGCTGTACAGCATCTCCAATCCACATTCATCAGAGCGCCCTGGGGCGTCATCTGCTGGCAGTGGGCCAAGTCTCAGGGTCTGGCGGAAAGAGGTCTGTAGGCTCTGGGACTTGGTGTCTGGTCCCTTGAGATGAGATTAGCTCTCCAATAACCTGAGCATCCCTAGGGGTGGGCAGTGGCACACAGGCCTGGGTCCCTGGAGACAGCCAGGGTGGGTGTGTGGCGGGGAGCAAGCCCATGTGCTGTTCAAAGCCACAGTGCAAGCTGGCGGTCGGCTAGAGCCTGGCAGGCGGTAGTGGGGATCGGCAGAGGAGCTGCATCAGGCATGATGCTACACATGGCGGAAGCAACAGGACCAAACACCAGGAGGACACATCTTCCCGCCGCGCACAGAGCTCCAGAAGCTCAGCCTACCGTGGGGACACAGTGATATCCTTTCCCCAGGAGTGGCCACAGGATGGGGGAGAAGCAGACCGCAGGGTCAAAATAACTGCCCCCTATTAACAGGACTGCGGGAGCGAGAGGTGGCAGCTGTTCTTGTAAAAATGCACTGCTTCAGACAGCCTACGGGGCAGTCCTACTCTGTCCTATGGGGTTGCTCTGCGGCAGCACCGGCGGGCTGCCAGAGGGCTCCTTTCTTCTTTCTTGGTTGGGGCGAACAGCAGTCTCGTGGAAGACGCCTGAGACCGCGGGCCTCTGGGCAGGTGAGACTCCGAGGTGAGCAAGAGCTGGGAGGGGAGCCCCTCTGAGGGACAGCACAGAGCCGAGTGGCACAGAGTTTTGGCCAGCGCTTCAGCTGTGAAGACTGCCCGGAAGATGGGCATGGACAGACAGGCTGACACAGAGAAGAACCCCTCACAGCATGGTGGCAGCTAGCTGAAGGCCTGTACCTGCCAATGAAGCCTGCAGCAGCTTCCTCAGCCCTACCGGCCCGCGTCAGCGGCGCACACACGGACGCATGCATGCACACGGACGGTGAGGGCGGGGAGCTGGGTGTCCTGAGTGCAGCAGAGACACGGGGGGCAGGGTGGGAGAGGGGTGGTAGTGGGGGCGGTTAGGCCAGAGTGGCAAGTCATTCGAGGAGCAGAGAATGAAAAGCAGCGCTTACTTGTTGATGTTTGCAAGATAGATATCGGCTACATGACCCCCACTGGGACAGCTGGCCCCCGCTCTGGCTGTCACCTTTTCTTCAGGTGGCTCAGAAATGACCTCAATCTCAGACTTGGGGCTGGACCTCTCCACGACACCGTCCTCGCTGGGGGAGAAGGGGTGGGCAGGCAGGGGGAGGGAAAACAACACAACACAAAAAGCAGTGTTAAACCGGCAAGATGGCCCCCCGACACACACACATGCGTACACACACAACCCCGCGTGGCTCTGAGGCAGCGGCGTTGCCGGGCTGGGCTGGCTCTGCGAGCAGAGAGGCAAGGGGACCTCAGGGCCTTTAAACAGAAATAAATAATGCAGCCGGGCCCTGCAGGCTCCTTGGGGGGGCGAGTGTGTGGGGGGTGGAAGCCTGGCTAGGAGCCACCTGGACAGGAGGCCTCTGCTCTCTCCTGGGCGGCTGTGGGGGGCTGGGGTGGGGGACTCCTGGAGGAGCGGAGGCAAGTCCAAGCTGCCGTTTATCTGCTGAGGTCCTGAGTGCTCCCCGCTAAGGACTGTGGCGGCCCGGAGAGGCCGGCGCTGAGGCAGGACACTGCCACGCTCGGTTGTGGGGCCTCGGCCCTCTGAGAGCTTCTGAGCCTCCCGTCTCCACTGCTCTCCCGGCCCGGGGCTACTGATGACACAGAAGGCCATCGCTGCTCCCCCACAGCTGCGCGCCTCTCCATCCCAGAGTGATGTCACAACGCTAACTGCGGGCGGCTGTCCTCTCCGAGCTCAGGTGGCCACTGGGTTTGCGATGTTCTCAACAGAGTGGGGGGGTTCCCCTGCAGGAGGAGCAGGGAGAGGCGGGGAGGGC